TGCACTAGGGATAACCAGACAAAACCAACTTGGGTAAGGAAAACACTTGACTAAATCACACCCAGGATGAAGACTCCATAGGAAAGTAAGCACCGACTAAGGAAACAAAGTCCTACTTCAAGGCTTAACTTCACTGGGAAGAAACATGCGTTGAAAAGATAATTAAAGCAAAATATGATAGAAATAAACCAATACAATTGCAGGGATATAACACCCCATAGGTTTCACCGGGGAATATCATACAGACTTTGCTAGGGAAGATAATACCACACCATATAGACTTCAACAGGGGATTTCGTATTGACTTTATTAGGGAAGATGAAACCACACATGCCGAAGGGAGTCCAAATACATTCTTCAATATCAAGAGTAGTGGTTGTGCAAACTTCTCTAGGGAAAATCTATGAAACTTCACGGGGACAACAACTTTAAAGGGAATCACCATCTTCGATTCATCTGGGGAATTAAGAAGTTAACATCATAACAAGAAGTCAGAATTATGGGGATTTTAAATCAAACTCAATCCTTGGAGAGAGAAAACCTAAAAAGTTGATAGCTGTCTCAAAAATTCTTATAAAAGATACCTCCCTTGTCTGGATACTCGTGGAGCACACAACAACAACAATGTCATAACTGGAGAGAGAAGTGCTCTGCAAGATATTCTACATCAATCCCCCCCACACAAAAGGGATAAATAATCCAACAAATGAGCAAAGGCTTTATAACCTTACAATCTCTGCTTGATCACAACCCAACCAAGGAAAGAATCACACTCAGCTAGAGAAATCTGCATCAAGACCTAATTGGGGAACATGGGATAAAGGTATCAAACCACACAAACCAACACCATATAGCAACTTGAACAAAATTTGAATCAAGACTTAACTGGGGAAAATGGGATCACAAACCCAAGACCATACCACGTCTCAACCGGAATTAAATCTAATAAACACAAGTGGACTATACGCATATCAGCAAGAGTAACCCGAGATACCTATTGGGGAATCTTTTCAAAGTTAGGTGTTTATCTATACCTGGAATCACTACTTTTGTCCCACTTGAATCACAAAATTGAGGTAAAAAGTAATTTGCAAATTATTTTCTAAACATGTTCTTATTATTAAGTCTTTTTGTTTTGAAAATCACTACCAATAATAAATGAAATTTTTATAAACATAATAAAATAAGAACTACAAAGAATTAGATAAAGGCTCAAACTTTATTAATAAAATGATAGTCTGTAAATGGTGTGAATCCATGGATGATTACAAAGTTTTGGAAAATGGTAAATACATGGAAAAGATACATTGAAATATAATTACCACTATTCTTCTTAACAACTTTGAACTCCTGAGCCTAGGCTTCAGTTGAAGTATGATGAGAATCCAAGAAGATTGTTGCTTCAATGATCAAGTCTTGTCTGACGCAATTACTTGCCAGGAAACCCCCCAATTTTTTCCTAGATTTCCCTTATGGGTTTTCAACCTACCGGGAAAATTTATTCTGTTTATGTCTCTAACTTTTTCCTAGGCCGCCCTTTCGGTTTTTCAACCTACCGAGCCGCTCTTTTTGCCTAAGCTGCCCTTTCGGGTTTTTAACTTAGTGAGCTATTCTTTTATTTATTTAGGCGAAGTATTTCTTGATTGCATCAGCATTTATGGGACGTGGGAACTCCTCACCATCCATTGTTTTGAGAATCAATGCACCGCCAAATAAGGCTTTCTTGACAACATATGGGCCTTCATAATTGAGAGTTCACTTGCCCCTAGAATCAGCGTTAAAAGACATGATCTTTCTGAGCAAGAGGTCGCCTTCTCTGAATTCATGAGGCTTGACCTTCTTATCAAAAGCTTTCTTCATTATTTTCTGATATAACTGGTCATGACACAAGGCTGTCATTCTCTTTTCTTCAATTAAATTCAATTGGTCAAACCTGTTCTAGACCCATTCAGCCTCTGACTACTTGGTTTCCATTATTAAACGTAAAGAGGGAATCTCAACCTCAACGGGGAGAACCGCTTCCATACCATACACAAGAAGAATGAGGTTTCCCCTATTGAAGTGCGAACAAATGTACGATACCCATGCAAAGCAAAAGGGAGCATCTCATTCCAATCCATATAGGTAACAACCATCTTCTTGATGGTTTTAATACGGTGGGAGAACTGACTTGGTGTTTTTCATTTTACCACAAGTGTTACGGATAGCAAGAGTCGCCGCTGACTTTTCTTTTATCCAATAAAAGAAAGGGTGAAAAGAACAGGAAAAACCTTTTGAGATATTTTCTTGAGTTCGTGGGGTAGGTTATGAAAAGGGAAGGTGTTAGCACCCTTTTCATCTGTATTTATCTACGAGCTCTTAATTGCTAGCTCACTTTGAAATGCTTTGTGTTTTGTGTAAGTTTGAAAATATTTTGAAAACGCCTTCATTTAGAAAACTTTATAATGATTCTCGTATCGTTGAGAATGTATACAAAGTGTTGATTTTGAAAATATTTGTTTTTTGGAAAGTGTTTGAAAGTTGTTTCGAAAATGTGAGTTGTGAAGATTATTTTGATTTATGAGCAATCAATTATGAGCAATTTACCGACTCGAAAAGTATTTGTTCTTTTCCTCCTCCTTTAGATATTGCTTGTCTACCATTGATTAGTAGGAAGCCTTATCATTGGATGTAAGGGATGGGTGTGGGTCATCGTACAGTCATAGAAGGAAACTTCCAAGATGTTTTAGCATATTGCCGTAAAGGTATAAGATAGTTTATCGTAGGCAACATTTGAAGGGTCATCGAGGGACTATGATCTTGTAATCGAGGGTCTTTGCTAAAACATCTCACATTCGAGTGACATGATTGTTTCATCCGAAGGCAACAAGTGAGGTTACCCTAAAGTGAGAAGTGTTTAATTTCAATTAATTTGTCTTGATTAGGGTTATCTAGTGGGTGATTTTAAATCTTGCCATACATGCCTAATTACTATATAGTATAAGGAAATGTAGTAAAGTGCAGAAAATAGAGTTCTACGCTATTACAAAGCTTCGGAAATGGGATGCAAATTTATGAATGGGGATGAAGTAAAAAAGAGCCTACTTAAACTATTTACAAACTGTAAGCAATTAAAATAATCAAAAGAATATAAAAATAGTAAACTACGAGCAAATGAAAAGAGAAAGAGAACTTTTTTTTTGGTGTGTTTTTGAAAAAAAAAAGAAAGTAAAAAATGTAGAATAAAGATGTAACTAAAACAAAAGTTATTTAGACTAAATTAAAATTCTAAGAAAAATTAAAATTCTAAAATTTACTAAATTAAATCTAAGTTAAATTAATTCTAAGGCTATCTAAACTTACTTAAATCTAAAATAAGTTAATAATAAGTTTACTAATTTAAAGTTAGACTAAATTAATCTTTAGATTACTAATTTAAATCTAAATTAAAATCAAAATTCTAAGAGACTAAACTAAAATTCTAAAATTATTAAATTAAATTTAAACTTAAAAAAAAAACTAAAGTTATTAAATTAAACTAGACTAAACTAAAATTCTAAAATTGTCAAATTAAACTAGACTAAACTAAAATTCTAAAATTGTTAAATTAAACTAGACTAAACTAAAATTCTAAAGTTATTAACTAAACTAAATTAATAGAAGTAAACAAAGATAAAATAAGTGTGGGGAGTGACAACAAAATAATCGGGGTGCATGGGTAGTAGAAAACAAATTGGGCTAAGGGTTTTTCGCAACACAAGCCCATGTATATAAAAAAGCAAATTATTAAAAGAAAAGTATCTTGGGCTTTAAGAAGGATCGGGTTGGGTTAGAATCGGGTCCTGCCCACCTAGCAACATAAGGAAAAGTTTAAAGAACCCTAGAACATGCATTCGCAGCCCCATCCTATTTAATGTGACGCAGAGGAAAAGAAAAAGAAAAATCAGAACAATGAACCTCTCTCGTTCGTCATCGTCTCTCTCGATTGTGTTTTTTGGGTGAAGGCTGACGGAGGGTTCTCTGATGTACGATGGAGATGGGTGGTGAACGGTTGATAAAGTATAGAGTGATACGAGATTGTTGATGGGTGATAGTATTATCGCAGGTGGTGGTGAGTTGCGGAAGGAAGCAACGGGTAGAAGAATGTTGGTTACAGGATAAAATAGACAGTGTTTCTAGAGGGAGTTAAAGGTGATGATGGAAGTTAGAGCGACAAGGTGGTTATGAACGGCAATGGTTGAAGGTTAGTGCGGATTTAGCTTGACTGTGAGAGAGCCATAGAGAGATTCAAGAGGAGTACAAGTGATGAAGGCAGAGAGAGCAACTAAACAGAGGGATTAGTAGTGAGGCCCGACGGAGGAAGCTTGATGAAGATTTGGGACTTACAGTTGAACATGAACACGCGATTAAATGTGTTTCAGATTTGTTACATGTTACATCGTGAAATCTCAGAAAAGTAGAAGATGCATTAGATTCAAGAGAAAAAGAAACCAACATCGGAATGGTCAGTGCATTTTAGACTTTCTCAGGTATATTTTCTTTAATTCAATCTCTTCTTATGCTTTTTGTAGTGACTGTTAGGGTATTGTGAATGAATTTTGGTTTAAATTGTTGTTGAATGGTGAGTTAACTGTTTGTTGCAGTGAGGTTTATGAGAGGTTAAAGGTTGAAGAGCTAAGGCTGAGCAGAATAAAGGAATCGTTTATGCAGAGGTATTTGAAGGTTTTATGCAGGGTTTGTGTGGTTTTCTGAGGTGTGGATGAAGGTATGGCTAGGAGTTAGAAGGGTTTTAGCAGTGAGTATGGCTTATGCCGAGAAATGTCTTAGAGGTATCTTCTTTATTTTTCTTTTATCATGTATACATTCTGATTTATATATGATGAGAGAGATATTGGACCGGGTTTTGGAGCCAAGATTTTTTGAAAGGAAAATTAGATTTTGTGTACTGATTTCTCTTGTAACAGGCTTGCTTTACCATTTTTGTGCCAGGTTGTTGGACTAATACAGCTGGTAGGATATGGTCATGATTTTGGCAGGGCTTTGTAATGGACTGTTATGGGCAGGTTTACAGGTTTTGGACAGAAGCTTGGTCTTGGGCAGTTTAGGCTAGACAGTAGGAGAATTTTTGGCTGTTTTGATGCTGATTTCAGCTTTGCCATTTTTGTGCAATCTTTGTGTAGATTTGGACTGTTTAATAACAGGTTTTGGACATTAATGTGTAGTGGATAGCAGGGCTGATTTTGGACAGCAATGTGCAGAAGCAGCATGGTTGTTTTTGGACATAGAGAGCTAGGTTTAGTATTAGTTTAGGAAGATAAGGATTTTGGAATTTTTGTATTCTTTGAATTTGAACCATTATGAAACCAACATATTTCTTGGCAAACTAAGGCTTGTTAATGTACTTTGAAATTTTAGGCCTTATGGAATTTGATATATCTTTGTGACATAGAACTTGACTTGTCTTGTAACAAAAGTAGAAACTATATGAATTGCTCGAATCAATTTCCCTTGAATGAATATGCATGGCTAAAACCATGTCTTATAGCTTCTTTTTTTTTCAAAATTCAAATATATGGTAGAGAATATTGGCTTTTCTCCAAGTAATGAAACAAAAGAATTTTCCCTCCATCTCAAATTTGAAACTTTGAACCATGTCTTTGAAAAATGATGAAATTTTTTGCCTTTGGTGACTTGAACTCAAAATAATTATCATGAATGGACTTGGATGAATTTGACTTAAATTTGAACATCTCGTTACTTAAATCTCAAGAAATCCAAGTGTATTTCTTTTTTTCACCCTTGCAAGTTTGATGAACAGGTTTAAATTCAATCATAAGAATAAATATCTTAAGTAAACCATCATAGCATGGATTGAAATTAGAGGTTAAAATCACTCTAAGTCACAAAATGACCCATAATATTTTCAACAAATTCCATGGCCTCCTAAGTACAATTTTGACTTTGATTCTTAAAGCAAACTGGTAGATGACATTCCTCATGACTATGCAAAAAGAATAATTTCATGATGTTTAAAATTGAGGAATTTATGGTCCTTGAAAATCAGGCAATAGTTACTTGAGATTAGGTCAAAGTCCAAAAAGTGACCTCTAAATTATTCAAACTTTTGGTGATCTTACACACATAATTAGCCCTTGACTTTTAAAGTTAAGTTGGAGATGATGTCAAGGAGAGTCATACACAAAAAGAACCACTCAAAAATATTGAATAATGAAAAAGTTATGATCGTTTGAACTTGATCTTTAAAATGTTGACTTTTTGCCCAATACAGTTGATTTTCAGTCATCTGAACCATTGACTGAGCAAACTGGCGATGCAAGGCTTGAAACTTGACATGATCATCCTTGAGAATACACGAAGAACCATGAAGACCACTTGAGACCTTGGAAACTCAATTTTCTTTGAGAAATACAAAACCCTAGTTGTGGACCCACTGCTTAGGAGGAGAATTCGCCTGATCAATTCTTGAGCCCTCTTGAGCATTTAAGAAACCCTAGGAGAATATCTTGAATGAAAAAAGGGGAGGGAAAATTTTGGGGTACAACAGCTGCCCCTGTTCAATCTTCTTAAATCTAAAAAGTTAGATTGACATGTTCACCATTCGTGACTTAAAGGTAAAAGATGATTGAACACTTAAGTGCCCAGAAGTTTGCACTCGCTTGTGAGAGAAGTAACGTTGTTGGTTGATCATACCGGGAATTGGCTTAAAGATGACATTTGGAGAGTGACAAAATATTGTCGGAGATGCGCTCATAGATGCCACCCAAAGGTGATGGAGAGTTGTCGGAGGTGGGCTTATAGATGCCATCCAGAAGTGATGGAGAGTCGTCGAAGATGGGCTTATAGATTCCATCTAGAAGTGATAGAGAGTCGTCAGAGATGGGTTTATAGATGCCATCCAGAAGTGATGGAGAGTCATCGGAGATGGGTTTATAGATGCCATATAGAATAACTATTAATAGAAACTAGACTAAGTCTAAGCTTGTCTTCAACTAGAAGAATTATCATAACAAATCTACGCTTGATTTAATATGAGCCGCAAGAAGTATCTACAGTAAAAAGTATCAGAATAAATCTTTGGTGGATTTAAACGGAGCCAACAAATATCTGCATCGTCTTTAACTAGAAAAGAATCAGAATAAATCTATTGTCGATTTAAACTGAACCATATGATGTCTATGTCGTCTTTAACTAGAAAAGAATCAGAATAAGTCTTTATTCAATTTAAAAATGAACCAGAAAAATTGTCTACTGGAAAATTATCAGAATAAATCTTTGGTCGATTTAAACTGAGCCAGAAGATGTCTGCCTCTATCTTTAACTGGGAGAAGTATCAGAATAAATCTTTTGTTGATTTAAACTGAGCCTGAAAAAGTATCTACTGGAAGAAGTATCAGAATAAATCTTTGGTCGATTTAAACTGAGCCAGAAGATGTCCGTGTCTGTCTTTAACTGGGAGAAGTATCATAATAAATCTTTGGTTAATTTAAACTGAGCCAGAAAAACTATCTACTGGAAGAAGTATCGGAATAAATCTTTGGCCTATTTAAACTGAGCCAAAAGATGTTTTTATCCGTCTTTAACTGGGGGGAGTATCAGAATAAATATTTAATCAATTTAAACTGAGCCAGAAAAAGTATCTACTGGAAGAAGTATCAAAATAAATCCTTGGTCGATTTAAACTGAGCCAGAAGATGTCTATGTCTGTCTTTAACTTGGAGAAGTATCAGAATAAATCTTTGATCGATTTAAACTGAGCTAGAAAAAGTATCTACCGAAAGAAGTATTAGAATAAATCCTTGGTTGATTTAAACTGAGCTAGAAGAAGTGTCTACTAGAAAAGAATCAGAATAAATATTTGGTCGATTTAAACTGAATCAGTAGATGTCTTGAATTTGCCTTTAACTGGATAAGAATAATAATAAATCCTTAGCCGATTTAAACTGAACCAGAAAAAGTGTCTACTGGAAAAGAATCAGAATAAATATTTGGTGGATTTAAACTGAACCAGCAGATGTCTTGAATTTGTCTTTAACTAGATAAGAATCAGAATAAATCTTTAGTCGATTTAAACTGAACCAGAAAAAGTGTCTACTGGAAAAGAATTATAATAAATCTTTGGTCGATTTAAACTGAACCAACAAATGTCTTATTTTTGTCTTTAACTGGATAAGAATCAGAATAAATCTTTAGTCGATTTAAACTAAACCAGAAAAAAGTGTTTACTGGAAAAGAATTAGAATAAATATTTAGTCGATTTAATTTGAGCCAGGAGATGTCTTGAATTTGTCTTTAACTGGATAATAATTAGAATAAATCTTTAGTCGATTTAAACTGAACCAGAAAAGTGTCTACTGGAAAAGAATCAAAATAAATCGTTGGTCGATTTAAACTGAACCAACAAATGTCTTGTATTTTTCTTTAATTGGATAAGAATCAGAATAAATATTTAATCGATTTAAACTAAACCAGAAAAAGTGTCTACTGGAAAATAATCAGAATAAATCTTTGGTCGATTTAAACTGAACCAACTGAGGTCTATGCTTGACTGTATCTGACTGTATCTAAAAATTGGATCATAATGAGTCTTCGCCCGAGTGTCTCTGAAAAATATATTAGAATGAGTCTACGCCTGACTGTATCTAAAAAGTGAATCAGAATGAGTCTCCTCCAGACTGTATCTGAAAAATGTATTAGAATGAGTCTACGCCTGACTATATCTGGAAAATGTATTAGAATGAGTCTACACCTGATTGTATCTAAAAAGTGAATCAGAATGAGTCTCCGCCTCACTATATATGAAAAATGTATTAGAACGAGTCTACGCCTGACTGTATCTAAAAAGTGAATCAGAATGATTCTCCGCCCGACTGTATTTGAAAAATGTATTAGAATGAGTCTACGCATGACTGTATCTAAAAATTGAATTCGAATGAGTCTCTGCCCGACTATATTTGAAGAAATTATTAGAATAAGTCTACGCCTGACTGTATCTAAAAAGTGAATCAGAACGAGTCTCCGCCCGACTATATCCGAAAAATATATTAGAATGAGTCTACGCCTGACTATATCTAAAAATGGATCAGATTGAGTCTTCGCCTGACTGTATCTGGAAATTTTTTTCCAGAGTGATACTCCGGGAAAGGTGTTTGAATAGTTGCTCGTCATGTAGATAGTCGCCCCGTCCTATTTCGGGAATTGATCTACAATCAGTTTGTTGGTAAACTCGTCCATTTTCGGGAGTTTATACCATCAGTGATAAAGATAGTCGCCTGTCCTGTTTCGGGAATTGATCTTTATCTGACCAAACAGAAAGAAAAATAGTTTCCCCATCCCGTTTCAGGAGATAATCTTCAATCAGTTCATGTAGATAGTCACCCCGTCTTGTTTCAGGAATTGATCTACAATCAATTTTGTTTTACAGATAGTTGCCCTGTCTTGTTTCAGGAGTTAAACCGTGGTTGGTCCTTCAGATAGTTTCCCTGTCTTGTTTCAAGAACTAATCTGGAACCTGATTTTTGTTGGCCTGAGATAGTTGCCCTATCTTGTTTCAGGAATTAATCTCTGACCTGGTTGAAAATTGTTGATGATATTCGTCTGTTGATTGGTCTTTCCTGAAAAGGTAAAGAGTTAGTTATATGCAATGTCATTATGTATGAAATGCATTTCATAATGATGTTCTCAAAATAAATGAGATTGTGCTATATGTGTTTCGTATGCATATGCTGTGAAATGTTGTTGAAGTGTATTTGTAAACTCATGCGATATCTTTGTATGGGAAAATAAATCCCTGACAATTGTTTGGGATGAAGAGTATGTGTGTCTTCAATCTTGTCTAGAATGCTTCTGCTGGGGATTCCTGCTCACTTGTTTGAGGAAACTCTGCAAGGGATTCATTTATTTCTGTTTGAGAAGTAGAGTTTAGGAATATTGGTCGTCCGTTGCTCAACTAGGGAATTAATTTCTTATATACCTTGACTAGGGATAAAAGAGATGGTTATATTCCGATTCGTCTGGGGAGAATAATTCTTATATGTCCTGACTAGGGATAAAAGAGATGGATAATCTCCCGACTTGTCTGGGGAGGATAAAGTTTAACTGGTATCTGGTCGCGTTCCAGGCTTTGCAGTAACTTCCTGGGGATAATGATGACTTCACTATGGAGAAGAATTTTGACAGTGATTAGCTAGGGAATTTGTAGGTTGTTGGGGAAATAAACCCTGTTGGAGAAATAAACCCTTGTTGATGG